GTAATTGCTTAACAAGAACTATTATAGTTATGTAAACTAAGCTTTTCAATGGATGGACCACTGGAAATTATTGCCGTGTAATTTTAACGGGCGGATGCCAAGCCCGTTCAATTTTTCGTACTTTGTCTAGGAGCTTGTGAGTGATATATAAGTAAATCCTAATTATTTGTAAACCAGATTGAGGATTTCCAGCTACTTTAAGTGGAAAATTCAGATAGCGTTGAGATCTGTTGAGAGTTACATGCCATACAGTGTATCCTTTAGGGCCTAGATATGTATTTCTTGACGTGGTTTAACGCGCCTTAAAGGCGAATTCCAGCGCGGAAAGCGTCCATTCCCTCGACGGGCTGAACCTTCACTCCCTTCCCACGTATCGAAGTTGCTCCTGATAAAATCCAAAAAAAAACCTGAAAACATAGTATGCAGCTGCAATGGCTAACTCTGATGTAGTACATACCTCTACGCCTGCTGAGAGTGAGTGTGTGTCGTGTTTGCAGCCAACGCCAACGCCAACTCCTACCCCGACTTCGCGAACCTCATTAACTCCAGCCACACAAGCCCGCGATACACCGGTGGCACAGCTCACGACAATACAGGCAAAGGAGGATTGCGATGCAAAGCTCTGGAACCTTTTCCCAGGCTGGCTTTGGTCGGAGAGGTCAAAGGATACACCATCTTGGGCTTGGAGTTATGGATACGATATTCAAAGGGACAGTGAGCGTCGATGGGTGTGTAAGATGTGCATCATCAAGAATTACAGCAAGAATTACCGTACTGCTGCCCATTTTCATGCTAGTGGCCTTGAAAACGCGAAGAACCACCTATTTGACAAGCACTCGATCTCGCCACCCTCCGGAAAGACAAAATCTGCTAAACAAAGAATGGTGGAGAGTAGCGGACGTAGGCAGTGTTTGCGATCGATAGCTGACATGATGAAGCTCGACCCAATGCAACCGAAAGAGCAAGTTCTTGCGAATCGCGTTATCAAAAGCTTCAACCGATCTCACTTTCAAAACCTCGTAATGAAATGGATTGTCAGCAACAACCTCACTTTCGCAACGGTGGAGCACAGGGAGCTTCGGGCCATCTTTGAGTATTTGAACCCATCAGTTTGTCTGTGATGCCAATCTTACGGCCGATTCGATGCGATCGCGAGTCCTTACCGCATACAAGGAACATAAAAATAAAGTAGTTGAAGTCCTGCAACGCAGTCCGGGGCTCATCCACATCTCTTTTGATGGATGGAGGTTCTTGATTGCGTGCCGGCATCGTTGGCAACAAGGGCGC